CCTGAAATATTTTACACAGTAAGAAAAGACATAGGGACAGGCATGGTGGCTCACACCTGCAATCCTAGCACTTCGGGAGGCCAAGGTGGGTGGATTGCTTGAGCTCAGGAGTTAGAGATCAGCCTGAGCAAGAGCGAGACCCTATCTCTACCAAAAATAGAACTGAGGCGGGATTGCTTGAGCCCAGGAGTTTGAGGTTGCTGTGAACTATGATGCCACAGCACTCTACCAAGGGTGACAAAGTAAGACTCTGTCCAAAAAAAAAAGGGAAAGGAAGGTAAGGGAAAGACAGGGAGACACCTGCTACCCACCACTATATAGACATTTTGTACGTTTGCCTCCAATATGCCCCTACTGTGCCATACACACCACCCATGATCAGGCTGGATCTGATTCCCACCTTGTCCAGCCCTGACATGAAACCATTTCAGCGGTCATGGCTCACGCTCCTAGGGAGACACTGAGCTGGGTACCAAGTACTAATACTATTTTATTGCTGGAAGAGAACTAAGGTGACTTTTTAGCAAAGACACGGGCATTCAGAAAAAGCAAGATCCTTGCTGCTCAAGATCACACCAAATTTGAAATCTACAAATTGATTCCTTGTCCAGCAAAATGGAGTAGCAAAAATCGCTGGAGCTGTAGTCAAACTCAGCCACATTCAGACCTGACTTTGCCATTTATAGTGAAATGGCTTGCCTGAGGAAAAACCTCAAACCATCTACCCAAGCTTTTTGGTTCATCTGAAAAATAGAAATCAGACTATCTCCCTTCAGAGGAAGTAAAAGAATTGGAAATATAACAAGTGGCTCTGTGCCTGGAATAGAGATTCAATAAGTAGTGATTTTTGAGTTCCAGGTTTTCAGGAACTCCAAGTATCTGCCAGATATCATTCCAGGTGATGGGAAGTTGCCACCAACATGACAATGTTTCTACCACTCTGCTGGTTAAGAAGTCACAAGTAAAATCTATTATCAGCCAAGTTTATGTGTATCTATTTGCATGTTTTCTTCTCGTGGCCATGATGTTTGTGGTTTCTATGGCTAGGATATTCTCCGGCATGTACTCATTGCTTGGTTCCCTAAACCAACTCAGGAGCCAGGGCTGCTCAGGGACCAGCCTAAATTCTGGCTACCAGGCCCTTCCCTGGTGAGGAGGCACGCTACATTCTGCAGAGAGTCAGCTGAGTGACACAGGGGCCTGTCCTCAAGGCATTCTCAGTCCATCAGTGATCCAGATCTCTGTGTAGCGCTCACAATCACCAGGTGTGGGGCTACTCACTGCGCACTTCTCCTTTATTCCTCACAACCTGCTCTTTCAAGTATAGTGGCCATTTTACTTGCTAAAGAAAAGCATTAGACAAATTGCATTTAATAGACTTTAATTGAGCAGAGAATGATTGGTGATCAGCCCTAGAACCAGGATGGGTTCAGTGAGGCTGCAGGGCTGCCATATGGCTGGATAATAAATATGAAGGACAGAAAAAGGGAAGTGAAGCATATACAAAAAGGAAGTGAGGTGTGAGACAGCCCGACCGCTCACAGCTGGGCGTTTGCCTCATTTGAACCTGGTAAACAGTTGGCTGCCTGTTGTTGACCCAAGTCAGCTGCTGTGATCTGCTGAGACTAGGCTACTGTTACCAGCGGTCTGTTTGCATCCAGTCAGGTCATGGCTCACTATGTATGGGGAAACTTCACCAGACTTAGTTTAAGTAAGTCTGCCATTCTTAAACCTCTTAATATTGTCTTGAAAACTACTGAACTGAATTCTTTTGTAAGATAAAAAAAATTCTCTTAAACAGCTAAAGTATTCAGCAAAGCAGAAGTCTAAATAAATTTTGTCCAGTTCTCTTGCTCTAGGACTTAAGGATTCTACTGGTAAAGGGGACAGGGTTTTTGTTGCTTTTCTTTACAAAAAAAAAAAAAAAAAAAAAAAATCGAATTCTGAGTTTCCTACACCCTCAGTTCCCAGGTAACAAAGAAATGTGGAGCTCCTCCCCACTCTGGGATTAACAGGCAAAAGACCAAATACCTTTCACATCATTTCTCAGCCACCCCAGTGATTCGGATGACATGAAAAACAGGTTAGAGTCCTTTTGAAAGGACTATACTTATCTTTAAACAGAAGGCTGGGTCACCTCTCAACACCTTTAATGGCTTTCTTGCCATCATCTCCTAAATCTTTAGCGTTTAAGATTTCTTGCAATTTGGCCCCGCATAAGATTTAGAGGTTGTACCAGACCCCCTAGCAGCCACTCAAGGCTCCCATCCGTTGCTTGACACACTCACCTGGGCTTTTTCACATCTGTGGTGTTGCTGACACTGTTCCTCCAACTTGAAACACCCTCCTCACCCATTCCCACCATAAATACACCCTCTCTCAGCCCAGATCCCGCCGCCTCCTCTGCTGGGCCTTTCCCACTTGGCTGTCAGAACCGCTTCCTCCTCTTGGCTCCCACGCATGGTCTCTACCTCTCTAATTTGTTCTACCAAGTTCCTCTCTCCTTGGCTGAGCACCTCCACAGCCCAGTCCCGTAGGGAGCAGCTCCCACACGGCTGGGTGGAGGGCCGGGCTCCGCCCCAACTCGGCAGGTGCCCTCCTTGTTAGTGCTCCAGGTTTCCAGCTGCAGGACATCCACGGGACCAGCAGGCCTAGGAAAGGACTGGAAGGAAGCTCAAGGGCTGGAAGACGTTCTTAAGGCGAAACATGGTCTAGTACAGCGGTTCTTAATGACTCACAGGAACTGTATTAAAGGGCCACGGCATTAGGAAGGTTGAAAACCACTGGTCTAGTATATGGCACTATTTGGAACATTATCAACTGTTTTTTTTCACCTCTCCTCCCTGGACTTGTTTTCTTTTTGAAAGTCTTGCTGTATTTTGTCCAGGCATGGTGGCTTATGCGTATAACTGAGCACTTTAGGAGGCAGAGGCAGGAGGATTGCTTGAGGCCAGGAATGGGAGACCAGCTCAAGCAACATAGTGAAACCCTAACTCCACAAAAAATAGAAAAATTAGCTGGGTATGGGGGAGCGTGCCTATAGTCCCAGCTACTTGGGAGGCTGAGGCAGATTGCTTGACTCTAAGAGTTTGAGGTTGCTGTGAGCTGTGATGCCATGACACTTTGTACCTAGGGCATCAAAGTGAGACCATCTCAAAAAACAACCTCCAAAACAAAAAAGTGCAGAAAAACAATTGCAGACAGTTGAATGAGAGGTTTCTATATATTTACACAAATAAAAATATTTCCATCATAAACAGGAGACACAGTATTGTTCCACACTGCCTCTTAATTTAATGCACTGATTATACACAGAGAGAACTGAACATTTTTCTGCAATGCTTACTGGCCATTTGTTCCTTTGTTCATAACCTTTGCCTATCTTTTTTTTTTTTTTTTGTAGAGACAGAGTCTCACTTTTTCGCCGTTGGTAGAGTGCTGTGGCATCACAGTTCATAGTAACCTCCAACTCCTGGGCTTTGGCAATTCTCTTGCCTCAGCCTCCCAAGTAACAGGGACTACAGGTGCCCACCACAATGCCCGGCTATTTTTTGTTGCAGTTTAACCGGGGCGGGATTTGAACCCGCCACCCTCGGTGTATGGGGCTGGCACCTTACCCACTGAGCCACAGGTGCTGCCCACCTTTGCCTATCTTTTTCTACTGGGCTGTCAGCTTATTGATTTGTATCCCTATACTCACGTGTTGTAGACACTCAACTGTTGTCACTTATGATGCATAGACCTATTTTCCACTGCATTAATTTACCACTTCCTAACAGTAATTTTGGGGAAGCATCAGTAACCGTACCTAGACAACGAGGATGATTCCTGCATTAGAATTTGGGGAATATTAACTGATACAACTGCGTGTTGCCTGGCAATCAGTAAGTACTCAATAAATGTTAGCTGTTCTTTCCTTTGTAGACTTGGGGGATACTGTAAGTTGGCAAAATGTTTACTTTGTCCAAAATAATTTTAAAAATAATACATTTCAACTCTTCAGGTGAGGCTTGCGTCTCCTAGTGGCTGTGCCCTCTCCTGCCTCCACAAACGGTTTTGTATCCCACAGCTTCTCAGACTTATGTCACCAGCCTTCCACTCTCCAAAGGTTTTCGTGGATAAAAGCACACTTTGAGATTAGATCCCTATTATCAGGGCTGATCTGTGTGCCCACTAAGCGCTGCACGACTCTTGGATCTGGGTCACTGGGTAGCATACAACCCCCCCCACCCCCACCCTGCGCTTGGGCAGTGTATAACCTGCACCTCTGCATGTGGTGGCCTGGCCCATATTTTAAGAAGCTTAAAGGCGCCCTCACAGCACTTTTTAATGCTTTCACAAGAGGTACCCTTTGTTCTTCAGCACCCACTAATAGGATTAAGTTGGGTGGTTTGACACTTTGGGGCAAGAGACACAGAGCAGGGAGTTACAAGTGAGGCCCAAAGTTCTTGACAGTCAGATTGGGGCTGTAAAGGACCAACTTAGCATGTTCTTGCTTGGTACCCTGACTAAGGCAAGTTTAGAGCTTCTGGATTTCTAGGGACCTCCCAGAGATTGTCAGGGGAAAGTCCTAATGGAAAGTACTGCCTCTATAACAAAAGCACAGATGGGCTTAGGCTGGATAATGACTGCTTACTATACAGAAAGCTGTAAATGTTACATATTTTACAAAGTATGTTTATGTCCATTATAATGTTTTGTAGCAAAGCCTCGTAAAGATGGACAGGGCTTATGATGCCCATTTTTTGAATCATCTGATACTGCATTGGGAAGGGGATTCTTATATAGCCCTCTGAGAAACTAAAAGGTAATCTTAAAATGCCAGTCTGAAAAGATGTCTGCAAAATTCATGGAGGTTGTGACAGCTGCCCCTCCTGTCAGTTACACCTTTAAGACACCGGTGCCCTCCACCCCTACTCACAGACTAGTAGAAAGATTTCAGCCTGAAAACCAGATGTACAAAAATAAAGAGCAAAATAAACCCGAGTCAGATTACCAGGTTAATAGCTGAGGTCTTTATTTCAATTTATATATACAGTAAAAGTGTTGCTGATAATCTGCAGCAACCAGACAGAACATAAATTTAATTCTCTCTCAACAATTAGCAGCTTAAGATCTATCAACTACAGTGTTAACGTTCACGCGTTCACAAGTGTCATTTCTTTACTTTTCAATTCGTGCAAGTGAGTTTTTATTCTTACACACTTTGATAAAACACACTTACAGTCTAGTAGTCAATCCCTACTGAGGGTATCGCCTGGCATACACAACACATAGACAGAAAGGTTAATTAACTGTTAGAGCCAGATTCAAAATCCCAGGATTCATTTGAGGTGGGGTTGTAGAAACTGTAATTTTGCCTGTCTCAGTTTGTTGATTATAGTAAAGTTTGGTTTTGTTTTAGACGCATATTTTCCAAAGTTGAAGGCAATTATTCATTGCAACTCACTCAGAACTCAGCATTTCATGTGACTATACCTCCAAGGAACATGAAGTCAGAAACAAAACCACATTCAGTTAGGACTACATGAAAATGTGCTCGTTACTAGGACATGGCTAGCAAGGAAGGCTTGATCCCAGTGTTTTTCTTGTCATCAGATTTTCCCCAGTTGAGACAGGAGACAGAGAAGACCCTAGTCAGTGAAGTATAAAATTTCATCTACTTTTGCTTAAGGAGCCAATAGGGTAGAAAGCCTTCCTTGCTAAGATGTACTGAGTACACAAAGGAATCAAAATTGGAGCAAAGAAAGTGTCCTTCAATTATCATAAACAATGTAAAATGACGGTCATTCTTCAACCTGAGGAGTCACCCAAGCCAACACAGCCAGCCTCACACACCTAGGCTAGGCACCAGCACAAACAAATAATTCAGGAATGCTTCATTTCAAAGGGAATGCACATTTCTTTTTAAAGAGAAGCATTCATGTGAGGGTAAGTTTCCACCCAGAACAATTTTGCACCCTTCGAGCGAGGTTATAGAAGAGCTTCGAAAAGACAAGAGACCCTAAGAACAACCACAATGCAAAGAAACACAAAAGCAACAGAGATGGGCAGCAAAAAGTACAGGAAGGCATGAAAACAGATGCGAGTTCACAAACAGCATTAAATGGACAACTGTCGGGCCTGGTGAATAACCAAGGGACAAGAGAGCCAGAAAGCCACTATTGTGCCTGATCTGGCCTGAGGGTCCTTCCTAAGACAGTTTGAGAAAGGAAGATGGAAGGCCAGTGTGGGCCTGTTTGGTTGGAGCTCAGGGACTTTCCAGAGGAGAAAATTTTCCTTTGATAGAAAGTGTCCCAAGGTAAATGGGAACAATTTCAATCCATGTATCACAGTGACGTCTAGTGCCCACAAAACTGATTAGCCTCCATGTAGTATAAGGGGACTCAAAGGTTCTGGCTTAAGAAAAAGGTAGCATTCCGCTAGACCATCATTTTCATCTACTTCGTGTGTGTGTGGGGTCTCTTCTCTACTCTAGGCAATTAAACGAAAGCATAAAATTAGGAGAAACTGCTAGTTTGACAAGGTCATGGTGTCCTTTGGCACTCTTGCCTAAAGTCCCTGCAATATTTAGGCAAAGTTACCATTTTAAGTATATAGGCTTGGGGACAATTTGTTTTTGGCATGAAGATGAATTGGTTCTGATTGTTTCCTAAAAATCACCCCTATGGTCCCTACTCTGGGTGCCAGTTTTGAGGGAAAAGAACAGTTGGTAGGTGTACTATAATCATCTGGGGATGAGGTGAAGACTGGGGTACCTGAGTTAAAATAGCAAAGTGGTTATGGAAACTATATGCTGGCCCTGAAAGCCAGATGACCAAAGCAAAAGGAGGCTGGAACTCTCATGTAAACCATCCTTTCAGACAGGCAGGCCCATGCTTATCTACTTCCAAAAGAATTTTCTGGGGTGGGGGAAATAGGCAAAACATGCTTTGTTACTCTTTTCAGGGTATTCACAGGCTCACTGCTCATTACTTTGTTGCACACAATGAGGCTGAGAGGGAACAGCATTTGTGACACAACACTTCAAAGAATATGAACAGATTAACCAAGCTCTCTAGATAAGCTCTCGGAGTTCAAGTTCCACCACGATGATGGAACTGGTTAAGGATATGGAAGAAGGCCCAGTCCATTTCTCTAAACTGTCTATAAGTCCACTGAGCACAGTTAGGTTAATGAATCAGTCTAGATTAATAGGAAGCTGGTAACATATTACACCCAAAACATGGGTCCTTCTCACCTGACATTTCCTTTTCTGCTCTTTTGGAGAATCACCTTCAGTTGATTCTCCTAAGCAGACAGAATAAAGCTTTGAAATTAAGGATGCTGGGGCCAAAATGCAGACAGAAAACTCCACATCACTTTGGTTTCAGTAATTAGGGGGTGTTAAAGAATAAATTAAGGAAACACAAGGAATTACTTATGACTGTCATAGCATAGTCTCAAACTTTCTTACAGACTACCCCAGCCCAAGTGGTCACTGGGTGAACATTTCCTTGGTGTCAAAAAAAATCCGTATCCTACCACACTGGTTTGCGGAAACAGCCTCCCCCTCTCCCTGCACACCTTTGTCTTCTCCAACCAAGCCAAGCCCATCAAGTGGTGGTGTGGGGGTGGCAGGACACCAAAAAGCAGCAGAGGCAGCCAGAGAAGGGAGTTTAAATTGCATCTCAAAACAAGGGCAGCAGAGGGCAGCGTTTACAGCAAGTCTTTCTTATTCAAACTGTTCTCAAGACAAGAGGGAGCAGCACACTTAAATAGCCACACATTTCTTCATTTAAAAACATCACTTCTTTATTTCAAAGGAAAAATAAAAGACCCTCCCAACCCTTTCCAAAAAAACCCAATAATAATAATAACAATAATAAAAAAATCCTATTAGAAACCATAAGGAAGCACTGAGAGTTTGAGTATTACATTCTTCAAGTATGCTGTTTGGATTTTTTATTTCTAAGTTGTTTACTATACACATTTTTAAAAAACCCTTAAAAGTGCGGCCAAGGTATTTTGCTGAAAATTAAGTATTCATAGGGCTACTTCAAAATACTGTAGTAGGACTGTGCTGTGATCCTTTGCGGCATGAAGCTCTCACTTTTGTATCCTAGCAAAGGTTAAGGGAACAGGTTCAAAAGTGGTCATACCTCCAGGGTTAGCATGAGTGGCCAACGTGAGTGAGAAAGCCAGGGAGATCCATGTGTTCTTTCACAGACAAGGAAAATCCACCCCGAATCCAAAACTTCAGACATGGAATGTGGTAGGATTTCACAGTAAAGTTAGTCCGGGATGGGGAGAGGTGGTACGTCTAGACAAGGCAGGGTGTTAGGTTAACAGGTTCGCCCTAATCAGGTTTTCGCATCTTTTTAGTGGGTTTTACTGCAGTCCTTCAAGCCACAATATAGAATGCCCTTCAGTGTACTCCAGATTGTTGGTTCATGTTAAAGGACTGTGTAAGATCTGCATCCCAAGGAAAATCATGCTACATAAAAATGATCCAAGATTTTCGCCCAAAAAACTTCTTGGATAAAATCTAAAAAATACTATTGCAATTGCGTCTCTTGAAGAAAAAAAACATTATTCTAAATGTAAACAGATTCACTCAACTCTTTTGTTGTTGTAGAAACCTTCAGAGTAGGTTCGTTGCTGTCTAACTCTCTGCTGCATGCACTCGCCAGAGGGGAGGAAGCTCTGCTTTCTTGTGCCAGCATCATCTGGGGGATGAAAAGAACCGCTCCACGTAGCTAAAGAGGGCGTCCCAGTGCTTCCAGAGAAAGGCAATAAAAACCACAAGGAATAAAGTGCTGAACGTCCTGTTGCGAGTCTTCATGAGGGGGACCACGCAGTTGGCCACCGTGGAGACAAAGACCAAGAGGACTGCCATGACAGCCAGGAGAATGTTGATGAGTTTGCCCAGGAGGTTGCGGGCAGTGGCATTCTCCAGCCCTTCCAGCTGTACCACCTGCTGCTGCTGCTGCTGCAACTCCATCTTGGAGATGCGGGTCTGACACGCCTCCAGGGCCTCCTGTAGTCCAGAGCAGGAAAAGGTTAGCCTTCTGCATACAAGTGCTCTGCCTGGCTGCCAGGCCCCTGGCCATGCCAGGTGCATTCTCAGCTATGCCAGTGACTTTAAATGTGCTGTAGTATTGAATGTGAAAGTCTCCATGTAGAACACACTATTCTCACTACTCCTCCCAACTGCCCTTCATTCCAATCCTGTGGAATGGCTCACAGGAAGCAGTGGCCACAACCAATTAGTTGTAAAGAAGACTTTGATGACAAGCCCATGAATAGATAACTTCTCTTTTTTTCACTTAAAAATTATTAATCTAATTAGCACAGGACACATATATTTGTTCAACATAAAAAATTTCAAAGAAGGCTCAGCGCCTGTAGCTCAAGCGGCTAAGGCGCAAGCCACATACGCCAGAGCTGGAGGGTTTGAATCTAGCCCAGGCCTGCCAAACCACAATGATAACTACAACCAAAAAATAGCCAGGCGCTATGGTGGGTGCCTGTAGTCCCAGCTACTTGGGAGGCTGAGGCAAGAGAATCATTTAAGCCCAGGAGTTGGAGGCTGCTGTGAGCTGTGATGCCACAGCACTCTACCCAGGGTGACAGTTTGAGGCTCTGTCTCAAAAAAAAAAGAAAAGAAAAAATTCAAAGAAGACACAGTCTCAACACTCGTTCTCAATTCCAGCCCCTGCCCTGTGGAAGCCTGTAAATTGTAAGTGCACACATGTATGTGCCAACAGGGCATGCTAATGGGTCTGATTTTAGTTTCTGGAAAGGACAGCTTGTCACAAGGCCCAATGTATGGGCCAAGGGAAATGTTCGGAATTATCATGTTTATTTCCCATCTTCACATGCATAGTATCACCCATACTGATGTACACCTCACACTTTTTACTCCATGTCAGTACAGAGAGACTCACCTCGTTCTTTTTAATTGCTGAAGAGCATTTTATAGTATGGCTATGCTATAGTACGTAGTTTACTTGGTCACTTCTCTCTGCGGATTTTTAGGTTGTTTCCAACTTTCCCTCTAGAAAAACAGTGCACTGAACAACCTTTGAACATGCTTCCTTACACACTACCCCACGTTTTCTAAGTCCGGGTAACCCCTGACCTCAGTGGTAAGGGATCTCAGACCTTGGTTTCTCTATTCCCAACCCCCAATTAGGTTGTAAAGAAGACTCTGTGCCCACATATTACACCAAACAGTAAAAAAGACCTGTTCCCTTCAAGGTCATGCCTTATCCCATAAGCTTATATGAATTTTTTCCCCAGCTATGGTTAACTATCTTCCAGAGTTCAGCAGTGGTTGGGGCAGTTTTTCTGGTCTTGGTTTCAATGGGTACTGGTTTCCTGAGATTTGAGTAAAGATTTGTGAACCTTCACACTGAAATCAGCTAGAGAATGACAGACAGTGGATGCTATCTAGTTCATAGCGATCTTAGGGAGAATAAAAACTAAGACATCTCCAGAGTTCCAGGGCCTGGAGAAGATGGCAGCCGGGCAAATGATCTAGACATTCCCTGATTCTTTTAGGCTGCAAAAATACAAGTTTCCTGGGCCACTTCCCTTCTCTGATACTAGCTTCATTTCAAGAAACTTTCCTATGAAATTGCCAAGAACTATTCTTCCCTTAGAAATACCTCCATATAGAAGGAAGAAAAAAAAATGATATACTCTATTTCCACATGGAATAAAATATATGGGCTATTAGTCTCATGGTGCCTCATGAGTTAGTCTCAGAGACGGCTGGGCAACGTGCCTGTAAGAGATTTGGATTAGGAAGCTGGGACAAAGGCCCTCTTCCCTGCAGGAGAAGAGAGGCCAAGATGGCCCTAACACTTGTCAGATGTGTCTTGAAACAGTAACCAGCATATGGGATGCAGGTAGCTTTCCATATGCTGAGATTGCTGCTACTAAGACCAATGTTGTAAAAAACACTTCCTGAGAAGCAAGCAGGTGTAGCACCCAAATGGCACAGACTTCTGAGCAACACACCTCAATCATTTAAAGAGTAGGGATACTTATAATGGGTAGAAGCTTTTTTTTTTTTTTTTTTGAGACAGAGTCTCACTATGTTGCCCTCAGTAGAATGCTGTGG